CGAAGGGCATCATTCTATAGCAATAGAGACCTCGGTCCGTGATGAAAGAGGTGTGCTCTTTATCGGCCGGATGCATGGGAATTTGGTTGTAGCCGGAGTATGCATCTATGAAGCTCAACAACTCGTGTTCGACCGTGGAGTCTACCAATTGGTCAATCCTTGGAAGCGAAAAGCTGTCTTTCGGGCAAGCTCTAATGAGGTTGGTAAAGTCGATGCATACCCTCCATTTGCCATTGTGTTTCTTAACCAAGACTGGGTTGGAAACCCACCTCGGATAGGTGGCCTCCCTGATGAAGCCATTTTGGATGAGCTTCTGAACCTCTTCCTTCAGGGCCTCATACCTCTCAGGGTTGAGGGCTCTCCTTTTTGTCTATGCGGGGCAACCTTCGGATCAATCTTCAAGTGGTGGCAGCTGACCTTGGGGTCAATGCCCACCATGTCCTCATTCCTCCAAGCAAAGATGTCAAGGTTCTTGCCTGGGAAGTCCTTAATCTTTTCTCTCAAAATGTCGGATAGGCCTTTGCCTACCTTCAGCACCTTGGAAGGGTCTCGGGGGTCGGTCGAGAATCTCTCAAGTTCCTCTACAGGGGATGCTTGAGGCTCATGTTTCATTATGCGGGGGTCAATCTCGTCAATAATCAGCACCTCAGGATTAAGCGGCGCGTCAATCATATCAACGTCTTCTTGTTCAGCGGGAGCGTCACCTGGGACATCCACCATGACCACATCAGCCATGATCACGTGGACGTCCCGAGGTTCTACCTTCTTAATGGAGCTTAGATAGCACTCTCTCGAGCCTCTCTGGTCGCCTCTCACCGTTGCCACCCCATTTTCTATCGGGAATTTCATGCATAGGTGGTGGATGGAAGTGACTGCTCCCAATTCCTTTAGGGTTGGTCTGCCTAAGACTCCGTAGTAAGCCGACCGGCTATCAACTATGAAGAATTCCATGAAGTTCATCGTAGTTTGAGGGACTCTCCCATTTCCACTGCCAGCGTTATCTTTCCCCTCGGAGTGATGCTATCTTCGGTAAATCCGTACAATGGAGTGGTGGTGGATGTCAACTGATGGTCCAATATCATTTTGTCAAAGGCAGACCCAAACAGGATGTTAACGGAGCTGCCGTTGTCGACTAGCATTCGTTTGAGCCCATTCCGGGCTATGATAGCCCTCACCACAAACGCATCGCAATGAGGGTAATGAACTCCTTCGGCGTCTTCCTGGGTGAAGACAATGGGTGGTACTTGGTTTTTTCGGGAGCTATTGTCCACAATGTAACTCGTCAAAGGGGGGTGTTTAGCCTTCCGAGCATAATTTCTTTTGGCGTTTCGTGTTTCGCCACCAACATAAAGGCCTCCAAATATGGTATCCACCTCGTGGATGGGGGCCTCATCTTGAGCGTGCCGATTTCTTCGGTGCCTACGCCCTTTCCTGGGCCTCTCTGCATCATGCTCCCTTTATCGTGGGGATTCATCCCTTTGACGGGGAGCGGCCTCCTCACGTCCACGTCAGTTGTCGTGCCTGGATGGGGGCTGTTCGCCTGGGGCCAATCATGTCTGTCTCTGGCGGGTTCCTACCGGGAGCGGTGTGCATAGTCTCTGCAATCCGCGGTGTTATGCCCGTAGGACCTGTGGTGCAAACAGTATCCTGGGAGGTTCGGATTGGACCTATTTCTAGGTGCAAAACCTCGGCCTCGGCCTCTCCCTCTGCGGGGTCCCTGCTGGGCCTCCATCTGATGTGGGTCAGCAATTAGGTTGGCATCCTCATATGCTAAGGTAGGAACCGCATTCAGAGTTGTGGTGGCCAGTGCTTGTCCAGAGTTCTCATTTCCGGTCTGGTTCATCTGGTAGTCCATGAGGTGGAAGGTCGGACCCCTACCTCGCTGCCTTTGAGGAAGTGGGAGGCCTCTGTTTGCCCTGTTCCTATGCTCAATCAATTCCTCATTGATTATCTCCCTTCTCATCATCTCTAGTAGGGCGTCATAGGTGGTGGGGTCTTGATTCTGCACATCCCTCCAGAATAGGGTGTTCATGTTCAGGCCTCCCCTCAATGCAGATAGTGCTTCTCTGTCGGTGACTTGTACGCAGTAAGTCATATCGTCGGTGAAGCGTGATAGGAAGCTCTTTAGGGACTCCCCATGTGCTTGTCTCATGTCTTGAAGACGCTGGATGGGGGCCTCTCCTTCCTTGTTCACTGCAAATCGCTTCAAGAATGTTGTCTTGAACTCGGGCCAACTTCGGATGCTCCCAGGTGAAAACTTACTATACCAGATTTCAGCCGCTCCACTGAGGGTTAAGTGGAAAGCCCTGCACTTCACGGCTGGGGTGGCACCCCTCAGGCTCATGTGGGTTTTGTAAGCGTTGAGGTGCTTCTCCGGGTCGCCTCTCCCGTCATACGGCTCGGGACCTGGGCATTCCTTAGTTCTCTTGAGAATGGCAGGTTCTCATCATCATCATCCAAGTCACAGGACCTCTGCTTCTCATCAGAATCGTAGTCATCGACCTCGTACATTGGTTGTTGGTGAGAGGGTCCAGGCCGGTTCCTAGCCTCTTCCTCCCTCCTTTGCGGGGCAGCGCGTGGGGCATTTTCATGCCTTCTCTCCGACTGCTGGGGCATTTGAGGTGGAGGCTGTGGCCTCGTTCGAGGCTACTGTGCCTGCTGTTGACTGAGCCTCAGTTCGGCGGGGCTGATTCTGTCAAAAACACTGCCAGCTCTCCTATGTCTTGGATCTTGCTCATATGGAGGTGGAATATCATCGTGGCTCATTTGGGCCTCGGTGGGTCGGCCAGAAGCATAGTTGGAGGAAATGTCGACTCCCACTTCCCTCTCGAACGGGCTTCCACCTCGGCCATAGTCTGGTGAGGCAGCCCTATGACTCTGACCTCGTCCTTTTGCTGATAGTGCCCGTGGGGAGCGTATGGAGGAATGGGGAAGCCTCCCTGGCCTTGCATTTGGGCAATGAGCTCCCTCATGGCTAAGTTTTGGTTGGCAATATCCCTCATATTGGTTGCCATGGTAGCCATTTCTCTTGACAGTCGTGCTGTCACACGCATTCCACCTCTCCTTTGGTGGTGGTGGAGCCTCGACCGAGCTGCTGGGGAGGCACATTCGTGCTTTCTCTTACCCTCCTGGGGGGTATCTTCGTTAGAACTCATATTTCTTTTATCAAACTCAGATTTGTCCAAGTGATAGGGGTTCCTCCTGTTCTTTTTCGAGAACAAATTCTTTTTCAAGGTGGGTTGCCCAAATGTTTTTCAGTAAGCTTTTACCACAAGGTTGCTCGTGGTTATGGTATGGTTTCCCACAGACGGCGCCAATCTGTTGACCCTAAAAAGTGCACCAAAGATGTCGGTCCCACCCGCGCTTGCGTGGGCGAATGTCCAACACGCTAAGACACGTGGACGGTCTAAAACGAGCGGTTCAAAGGGCGTGGGAGTAGTCCAACGACGCGGGACGGTGACGTTCGGAATCCGGTGGGTTGTTCGTAATCCGATTGTACAATAATTACCAACCGGTGTTCATAAATGTATATGTAAATGTGTATAAACTTGATTTGTGTATTGCAAGTAAACTGAGAGAGAGTTGAGTAAATGTAGTTCTTTGTATTGATTCTTGCATTAGCCTTTTAATATTACACAAGGAAGTATTTATAATAGTACATATGAAATGGGAGCCCTTGGATGAAGTGGCACGTGGCCTCATCTCTTTAGTTCAAACATCTTTTCCTAGATATGGGGCTTGACTTGCTAGCTTACGGCGCATTTATTGCTTGTGCAAGGCCTCCATGCTAGTGACAAGACTTAACCTTTATGCTTATGACAAACGTTCCATCAATCATTCGAATAAGATCTGTGCAGGCGATCTCTTGGGAGAAGTGACCATGGAGGATGTTTCTTTGTGGTTCAGAGGCTCGCGCATCAGCTTCGATCTTCGGCCATTTGTCATGATACTTCCACTTGAGGGTCTCAGCTGCTCTCAACAGGTTCCTGCAGCCTGGCTTCGGTTAGTAGGCCTCGGACAAAAAGGAGCCTCGGCAGATGGACTTCGGCTCGAAGCAGAGCCCACCTCGACATTGTGTGCCACCTCGGCAAGAATGCCACGTGGATCGCCATGAGTGGGCCATTGTCCAGGTAGGTTGGCCAGGTGTGACAACACGCAACAACGACAATGATTATGGACTAACAATGAGCCAACAAAATATCACACACGTCGCATAATGATGAAAAGTATGATAGACACGTGATATATAAATCTTATTCTTTTACTCTTTGCTACCACGTTCGTTAAACTATTTTGGTGTAAAATCTACAATGATTAGAGGTTAGTTCTTATGTCCCCCCTTCTGAACCCGCATTTTATTATTTAACATGAACAAATTATCCACCCTCGTGTTAGTTTGAAGAAATATTTTTTCCAGGGTAATTTAGTCATTTACAAGTGAATTATATTATGGTTGATGGATTCGTCAAAGGAGTGAGAGTAATGACCTTAGCTACCACCGAAGGGTCGTCCTACTCAGTTTCGATGATTGTTGTTAGGTGGCTAAAAAGTGTCGTTTGCGCCTTGGTTGGTGCTTTGGTGCGCAAGTGTCGGACAAAAAGGAAAAGAAAAAGAAAATATCTCATTAAACTTCGGGTAAGCAGAAGATATTAATTCACATCACTATAATGTACTCAATAATGTAAAAGTAATGTTATTACAAAAGATGGCGCTTTTAAGCTCATATAGCCGAACAGAACTCCAACATGGAAGCCACACACACATAACACCGAAAGGAAAGTGGTCAAGGAGGAGAGGAAGAGAACTGAGAAGCGGAGAGAGTTAATAAAGATATTTCGTTGTACTAAAACGTAAATCAAACTATTTTAAATTATTAATAGTGTCACACATTTCCAAAGTTGTTTTTTTATTAACAAAACTTTTTAAGAAAGTAAACATTAACTTTACTCGTCAAAAAATGTAAAATATTTAAGCACAATTAGACATGCTCCAAAGCTGACTGAATTAACAACCATTTTAACTCAAATCTCATTTATCATCTCAATGCAACAAACACTTCAGCTTCCGCTTATTCTACAAATTTGTAATCAAGAGTCAAAAATAGCAGAATGAAGCTAATACGAATAAATTATACTTCCAACAATACAGGCTCTCAATCTGCCCAAAACAATACACAAATCGGCTAAGAGCAACCTTACGCAAGCAACAGAGATGTAAAATTGCAGAACAAGCGACAATGACCAACTTTAGAACAATTAAAGCTTGAATCTGCAACGCTTTCAACTGATTAGGCGGCAACCTGACCAAAGAGAAGCTTGCGGATCTGCAATTAATAAAGCATGCATATTTTGTCAAGGACACTACCATTGTTCCGAAACCCAGAGATGCATCATGCAGTAACAGTTATGGGCAAGGTCAAGTAAGTCAACAAGAAGAGCAAAATGCAGGCGATTGATACCATGACAACAAAATTTCAGTTTTTCAGCAATTTGTTGTCAAAGTTATATAATTAGCTTCGGAATCTGTAGTTAAAGGCGATAATTGAGTTCAATCTTGTTCTAATTCCAGATATTTCAATCAAGATGCAGTCATTTTAACTGGTGGATATCAGAAATGTGAACTTCTCTACTTCTAGATTAAAAGAAATATATATATATAACAATAGATAGGTAGTTGTCAAGATTGGTGATTATTGAAATCAAAAGAGACGGGAGTAAACCATTGAATCTACGGACAATGAGAGGCCAAGATATATAATTCTTTGGTGATCCCACTTCATACAAAGAAGATATATTAATCTTCAGTCCTCTTTTAAGTTGTGTGCTAGAAAGGCTAATAATGTTAGTTGCCATCACTCATGACCATCACCATGATTAAGTGGCATTGAATGATAGTCCAATAACACGAGTCTCATATCCCTACATTTAATTGGACATATCATTTAATGCTACAGTGTGGCCACATATGGTAATGATGGTCATCAGTGATAACAAATAGCATTATTTTGAAAGGGCAAGATGAAAACAACATCTACAAAAACAAGTGTTGATATCAGCATCAGTTTTCAGCCATATGTCCAGAGCCCTTGACCCTTACAAGACTGAAGGCAAAAGTTTATTATTCTGTGAATTCTTATATTTCTCACGCTGAGGATAAAGTGTCAAAAAAGTCAAAACGGAACAACTACCCCAAACAAGATAAAAGATTTTACAAACGCTTGGGTTCTGTTTGCAGATTCTGAAAGTGAAGTGATAAATAGTTCAGCCCCAAAATCATAAACTCATTCATGAACAAAATTGAATTTGACTTTCCAAATATGGTCAGGTTGAGGGAACCTGGTTTATAGTGTTGTTTAACTCTACCATGTTCCTATTTCGAGATGATACACCAATTCAATTTAACTTGATGGAAGTAAAAATGTTGCAGTTAGAATGTCACAAACACCTCGACTTATCAAGAAGAGCATGTGCTGGTAAAAGCACACAAATCTGGATATAATTAAGAATGCATAAAATTTGATTAGAAACGTTGATCACCAAGGGCACCTCATAATTCAATTTATGATGCTTAAACAATTAGAAGACAACATCAAAAGCCAAGGTCAAAAAGCTGCAAAGAAAGAAAGAAAATGGGTAGACAGTGATTAGGAAAAGAGTACCTCTGGAAGTTTCTTACGGAACACAACATCCAACCTAGCATCAAGAGTGTTTTCAAAAACAATTTTCCCATCTCGAGAAGCCAATACTATGCCTCCAGAACTGAAAATGGAAAGGGAAACATATACTGTTCAATTTTTAGCCACTGACATTATTTCATGACCAAGCAATTGTTTTTAAAGACCATAAAATTTTCAAAACAAAAAAGCAGAGGAGCAAAGACTGGCAAATTCACATGCAATGGATTGGACCTCATAGATTAAAAAATTTTCTCAAGCTTCTTTGGATGGAAGTAAAACACTGTCAGGAGTAACAATTACCAGAAAAGACCATGAGCAGTAGCATCAGATGGAGCAGGTGGAAGGTAGACACTATCAACTATGATCTCGGGTGGATGAACTGTTGCCTTCTCTGCATACTCCTTCTTTGCAGAGTCCAAGACAGACCCCACAAAACCTTCATCTTCTTTACGACAGCGCAATAAGACGGATGGCTCTTTCAGTCTGAGCAAACTCTGCAATATAAAAAACTGTTCTTGGGTACTAGGGCAGGGTTCGATGAACTAAACTAGTTATACGAACAAATCATTCTCAGAGTTTTCATGAAGAATAAAATTGAAATCTTTCCAAGTTTTTATCAAGTAAATACTGCATCCAGCAGAAAATTGAAGTCACTTGAGAAAGAAGATAAAATAATTAAACTACTCATGTGCAATATTCTCTTTTCTCCTATAAGCATGCTTGGCTAAGCTTAAAAAAAATAATTGTGTTTCAAATATGTTTCATATGCTACTTTTTTTCTTACTTTAAATTAAAATAAGTTACTTATTTAGAAAGTAACTTTTACTTTACCATCAACATAAGAACTTATCATACCCTTAGGCCAAAAAGAAGATCATTTATTTTAAAATTTACTCATAACCTGTAAGTAAACTTTGCCTATAAAGAAGCCAAACATGCTTTATGTATTATATCTAAAGTTGTGATTCTGTTTCCAATGGTCTTCACATCTCTCACATTGCTAACTCTGCTCACAAGGATGTACCTATGCTTCCACAAGCTTTATGACAGATTCCTGATACTCTGTAGACAGCTTATTCTTGTTTACACGTTCAGAAACTATTCCAGGCTTATCTGTGATGGTTTATCCCAAGGAAAAATATCAAAAACAAACAGAATTTTATCTCCTAAAATGCTTTTCTATTACATGTTCACCTACCTATTTATTAGTTAGAAGCCGTCACATCTCATTTTTACTGATCAAAATAATAATTAAAAACAGCAGGGAAAAAAAATGGTTTCATCGACCTGAACAATGAGATCTTTCAAAAGATTTTTGTAGCTGCCCTGATTCTGGCTCACGTTCAAAAGCTCTTTTGATCCAGCCTCCTTCATTGAGTTAACCAAGTCATCCTGAGCTTGAAGAACCTTGATTCGAGAAGCATTGAGCTGCATGGAGTATTCACTACAACAAGCCAATGGCAATAAAATCAAGCAACATGTTTTAACCATTAAACTTTCACAAATATATACATTATATTTCTATTGGATTTGACATTAAACTTAGATACTTCCTCAAATTACCAAAAAAAATTAATTTTAGTCAGATTGGTGTAATTAATGAATCTTAATTTTTTGAATGGCTAAATCTATAAAGAAATACACTTATTCTACTTAAAAAAATGAATCGAGAAAATATCAATCAGCACTAAGCAATCTAGATCTCTCCTTAATCGCATCAATAACTTCAACAAGTCAGCATTAATTACGTGTCGCAGATATCATGATAGACATAATTCAACGAACAGTGTGTATAATCAAGCAACAAAAATTCAAACAATGCAACGAAAAAGGATACAATTTTTCCTTCTGACTGCTCAAGACGGAGAATTAAAAACAGCGAAAAAAAAGTAGAAATTACATTTTTTTGCGGACTTGAACTTGTTTATCTTTGCGCTCGTACTCTTGTCTGATCTTTTTCTTCTCCGCTTCCACTAGCTGCAACTTCTCTATATTGAATTCCTAACAAAAACATCAAATATTAGATGCTATTATTAAACCTAATCGAACCAGTAAAAGGAGCGATTAAGTCAATTTTACTTCTTCGGCAGAGACGGAGATCTCATTGGCCTTCTCTTCGGCTTCTTGGCGGATGAACCGCACCATCTGCTGGATCTGCTTGGATACATCTGCGTCATTCATTTTCGGTGTGCGGACGGGCTTCAGTTATAACCACGGATTTTGCTTTTCGATTTGATGATGTGAGGACTGAATGGTTCTGTTATTTAACGTTTATATGCACGACGCCAATGATATAAAATAGGTTAATTGGCACAAAACATCCCCATCTTTCAAGTTTATTGTCAAAAAATCCCTACCTTTCATTTTTTGACATTCTTGTCCCTACCTTTCACATTTCTTTGTACGGAAGGTCCTTTTGATGGTTTTACATTCCATTGAAATGAAACAAAAAGAAAAGAAAAGAAAAATAAAGAATTAATTGCAATCAAAGTCTCAAAAAATTTGAAAAATTATAAATTAATCATAATTTATTGTGAAATAAAAAATTTTAAAATTAAATAAAGAAAGAAACTTGAATATACATGGAAATAATCAAGAAATGGAGAAATTTTTTAATCATAACCAATGAAAATGAAAAAAATTTGAAGATTACGTGATTTTTACCTCAAGCCTTCCATCTACTCTTCACTAAATAAAAATTGAGATTTATGCTTATCCATTTTTGAAGATTTTCAGTTTCACTAGCTATGGTTCAAAAATTTCTCTATTTCTTGATTATTTTTCTGTACGTTCAAGTTTCCATTTTTTATTTTTTTTGGTAATTTTAAAATTTTTCAGTTCACAGTAGATTGTGACCAATTTGTAATTTTTTTTAAATTTTGGGACTATTATTTCAATTAGTTCTTTATTTTTTCTTTTCTTTTCTTTTTGTTTTACTTGAATGGAGGGTAAAATCGTCAAAAATAAATGAAAATGACCTTTTGCGCAAAAAAATGTAAAAGGTAGGGGTAAAACTGTCAAAAAATGAAAGGTTTGGACATTTTCCACAATAAATTTGAAAGGTATGGGTGTTTTGTGCCATTTACCCTATAAAATATATAAAAAATTGCGCAATTAGTCCCCTAACTTATGGACCTTGTGCCAAATTAATCTACAACTTATTCTTTTTTATAATGTCTATGGCTGGGCAAATCTTCGGAGCTGAATCGAATTGAATTGGATCGAACAGAACTGAATAGAATCGAGCGATTCTTCTCAAATTGAATACCCGAACGGGTGTCTGAAGCGAGAAATGATAGATTCGGCTCAATTCTTGGTTTTAAATCAAGAACCGAAATACCAAATCTCTCTAATTTTTTATTTATTTATTTTAAATAAGTCAAATTATTTTATCTCTAAGTAAATTTGCTAACTAGTTAATTTAATTCAAACCCAAAATTATGATTTTTCTACTTCTACTTTTCAGTCCAAACCTAACTTAATCAAATTGACATAAGTTTTACCAAAATCTGTTATTCTATTGTAGTGTCGTTCCTATCGTTTTGAAGAAATCAAATTTAAACTCGACAATTCCTCTTTTAATTATTGTAAACTCGCTATCATCATCTTCATATGATTTTAACAATCAAATCTATGAAGAATTTCGCAAAAAGAGATGTAAAAGGCATATAAGATTAGACTATGTTATTTTGTAAAAGTTAATATTGATCATGTCATTAGTTGAATTCATATAACTTTGTAAATATTAAACAAGTTAATGATAATACAAAACTTAGGAAGAACCCAAATGGTTTCATAATTAAATTTGGATTTGATGGTTTCACTTACTAAATACATGAAAATTTCGAATTAGGTTCAATTCCCGTTAGAATCGAAACAAACCGGACCATGCCCACCCCTAGTAGTGTCGTCCTGGACCTATCTATTTTATTTCAATCATACTATTTGTACAATCTTTGTTTACAATTTTGGTTGACAATCATACTTGTCACATTATATTTATTCATTTCAAAACTGCTTTTAAAATTAATGGCTCGAATTTTGACAACATCAACATTGTCAATCAACATTGTCAAGT